AGTGTGCCCTGTGGCTCTCTTCCCAGGCCCTCTGCAGGCACATTCCCAGGGGGTGCCGAAAGCATTTGGCTGAGCTCGCTCCCTTTTCTCGCCCTGGCCTTGGTCTGCACCCCTGACCGGGCCGGCGGGCAGCGCAGTAAGGCCTCGGCTTGTTCATTCTTTCCAGCTCCTGCTGCTTTGCCCTTGTGGAACCGGCTCTTCCCCCACTCAGCACGGAGCCCAATGCCTGATTTATGTCTGCTGGCTTCAAGAATGGAACACAGTGGAGTTCTAGCATCGCCCTGGTTCCTTGAGCGATAACCACATTCAGAAGCATATAGTGCAGCGATTTTCAACCTTTTTCATCTCACGGCACACATAAATTAATTACTAAAATTCTGTGGCACACAAAAAATATACTTTTTGCCACCCTGACCCCCCCCCCCCCCCAGAAAAGATAAAATTTTGATTCATTCACACCAGACGACTATTGCTATGGTGGCTGTTGTCATTTATTTAATTTGATGATCTAAAGGTAAAGAGGTCAGTGCCCCCGGCTAATAGTCAGGTATTGCATGTTTTAAAAATTTGTTGTGACACATCAGTTGAAAATCGCAGGGATAGTGGTTGCTCATTAATGATTGCTGACGCAATGAATAGATGGATGGAGGCATCAGGTGTAATCTCTTCGGGTTTTTAAATGATTGTCTACTGGATTCTGGGTTTTGAGTCTCCAACAACTCAAATGCTTCTACTGTGTATGGTCAGCACTTGTGCGAACTGTTGACCCATTTCCAGTGCTCTCGGGTTAATTAGCATTTTTACAGTAGTGGCTTCTAGATGGTGCATCTCTCTGGCCTTCTGGTCTTCATGTTGGGGTTTTGAATGAGGGTGGGACGTTGGGTCAATGTTGCAAGTTGCAAACCCTGACTCAGCTCTCAGATCCAGGCTGCACGAGAAGTCACCAACCAAGTTTTAAACATGGCACGTGGATAAATTTAATTTTCTGGTTAGGAAAAGGTTCCAAATTGAAGCACGTTTACAACTTCTTCAATTTCAACTCATTCTTGAAAATCTTTCTAAAATGTTTTTCTTTACTTGGAAGTAGTCCTCTCCTAAGTGAAGTCTGCTGAGCAGACTTGATTCTTTCCGTGACAGCACAAGGTGGCTTCTTCCCATGGTCAACATTTTGCACATCAGTTATTTTCAGGTACGATAGGAAGGGTGTGGGAGTCAGGGAGAAATGTGTTCACTGTGGCTGGTGGTGGGCGGGGAGCAGCATGAGGTAATGCAGAAGCGGTCGCATGGGGCCAGATGGTACATTAGATACCGGCTTTGACATTTGATAGTCAGTGGATGTTTTGAGCAACGGGATGACGTAAGAGCTGTGCTTCAAGAAGTGATGTTAATGTTGATTGCACAGGGAGGAGCCCGCCGTGGGTCTCTGACAAGAGTCTCCCCACAGGTTAACCAGAGTGAACATAGGAAGGAGGGAGTTGGAGGAGGTTTTTGAGGTGATAAAATGGAGGGAACTTGGTGACTGGTTGGTGAGACAGGGAGGAATCAAAAATGTCCCCAGGTCTGAGTCTGGCAGGTTGGGGAGCTGATGGTCACTAGAAGTGAAGAGAGGGGCTGACGTGGCTGTGGGACCCATCTAAGTCCTGCCTCTTCTCTTCACCTGTGATGGATTTGGGATCAGTGACCCCTTAAAGCCTCCGTTTCCAGATCTCTGAGTAAGGGGGAATCTCCTTTATTGACTGCAGGCCAATCTGTCTCATGTGGAAAGTGACATTTAATAACCACTACCACTACGGCTAGAACTTGGCATAGACCATTCTGCTCAGCAGTGTCCTGCTCCTTGTTTTGTTCCAGTTAAAGTGATTTTATTTACAGCCCCATGGAGCTCATTCAGATTGAGTAATGCTTACTCATTAGGGCACAACATATGTGAAAGCAAAGAGAACATCCCACGGGCTATACTGGAGCACACGGTTGAGGTCAGGCTTCTCACTGTTTGAGCTCTGGTTGGCCGTAGCTGTTGCTAGGCTGATCCCATTTTAAGCAAAATTAGAAAGTTAATATGAACTGGTTATACTAGACTGCCTTCTTTAAAAAAAAAAAAAAAATTATCTCTCCTGATTCATCTTCATTTCGCTGTTTCATAGCTATGATATGTAACTTTGTGTTAAATTTAATGAAATGCTATAAAACTGTACTGTTGATTTATATGTGGCTCTCTGAGATTACCCAAGAACAGAGGAGAGAATCTGTACTCAAGAGAGAATTGCACATGGAGCTTTCTGCTGTAGAATTGGTGGTCTCTGCACATTAGTGATTAGGGCCTTTGTCCAGGTTTTCAAGTCTTTAGAGGATTTTAATTAAGTGATGTTCTGGAGACTTGAGATGAATTGTGGCTGTGGAACAATAAGTGACCTCTCCATAGCACGGTCCCCGCGCAGCTCTGTGCACGGGCAGGGCCCGCGGGGGAGCTCGGCCCGCAGCCCCCGCCTGCTCAGCCTCCGCTTTCAGGATTCCAGATGAGTCGAGACAAGTGCTGGCTTGGAGAAAAGGAAACACTGCTCCTGCCAACCTCCTTGAGACTGCTTCTATTTTGGCCTGTTCTGCGCTCCCTTGATTCGCGGAGAATCTATTGGAGGAGGGGGAGGGGGAGAGGGAGCTCTAGCCAGCCCTGAGAACGGGGACAGAAACAGTAAGCATAGCAGTTGCTGAAAGTTTGTTGCTGCTGACGGCGCAATCTGCTGTCCCCATTCGCGGATGTCGCATGCCATCCCGCAGTTGGCATCAGCGCTGCCAGGAACCACCCCCTCCTTTCTCTCTGTAGGCAGGGAGAGAGGTATTCCAGCAGTGTTAACTCTTTCTGCTTTGGAGCCTCCAGTTCCTCCTTCCCAGGCCGTCGTATTGATCAGGGCTGTGTTAGGGCCACAGAGATGTTGGAATCAAAGAATCTTAGGAGTGGGAGGGCCCGAGGGAATTTGTCAAAGGAAAGCGGCACTTAGTCTCCCCAGATTAGACCACCTGTGGTAGTGGGTAGACGTCATTTGTGTTCTGAAGAATGATGATCCCTAAGGAAACCTGCTCTTACCGACAGCCCAGCCCTCTGCCGCGTGTCCCTTTTCCTTAAGGCTGCTGCTAATTACTAATCTGATAAACAAAGGTGTATTGGGATCCCTCCCTGACATATTTGCATTTCAAAAGGAGATAATTCCATAACTGTTCTGAAAGAAGGCAAGTCCAAGGAAGAAATTATTAAGTGACAAACGTGTGGGAAGGAGGGCATGGATGTAGAAAGGACTCCAGACCTGGGTAATCGTCTCCATGCCCACTGGCCGTGTGACCCGACACTTCCCCACGCCTGTCTCTTGTCTGGAAAGTCGCACAGCACCCGGCACAATAGGTATTAGCAGCCAAGCCGGTTGTAAGTTTTCCTTTCAAGTCTCCCCCTGCCAGGACCTCCTTCACCACCGAACGGACATAAGGCCAACCATACTCATATCTGTTGTCGAATTACGAATAATTGTTTCTGTATCTGGTTTACTTGTAAAATGTTCTCATCTTGGGGTATTATTTATTTATTTTTATCCTCACCAGAGGACATTTTTCCATTTTTGTTCAGGTAGAGTGGGAGGGAGAGAGAGAGAGAAACATCGACGTGAAAGGGACACATCGAGTGGCTGCCTCCTGCATGACCCCAACAAGGGCCAGGGACAAACTGCAACTGAGGTACGTGCCCTTAGCGGGAACCAAACCCAAGTCTCTCTGGACCGCAGGCCGACGCTCTAACCGCTGAGCCAAACTTGCCAGGGCTCATCTTGGGGTTTTTAGAAGCATTTATTTGTTTATTAGGAAATATATCATATATACAGAAAGCTTCATGAAACACATATGTCCCAATTAGCAAATAGTTGGAAAGATGTCAGCCACGTACCCACTGCCCAGGTCAAGACAGGTATAGTCCTGCTTTAAAGTAATGCACAAATGAGTGTGCATCTGTCAGCAATGGAATCTACAAACAAAGTGAGCAAGCAGAACAGAAAGAGACTCCTAGATACAGAGAACTTTTTGTTGCTTGCCAGATGGGCAGGGGCTGGAGGTATGGATGAGAAAGATAAAGGAATTAAGAAGTACAAATTGGTTGTTAGACTGATGAACCTCGAAGGGAAGGGGCGGGGGAGGGCGGGATGAGATAAACCAAAGAACTTCTATGCATATATGCATAACCAATGGACACCGACAACAGTGTGGGGAAGGCAGGAGGGGGCAGGGTTGGGGAAGAGGGGTCAGTGGGGGAAAAAGAGAGGGACATCTGTAATACATTCAACAAAAAAGATGAGTTAAAAAAAAATAAAGCAGCGCACAGATATAAGGCAGTGGTTCTCAACTGGAGGAAGGGGTGGTCCCCAGTGGTCATTTAGACATTTTTGGCTGTGGCATCCGAGAGGTGCTATGGGCACCTAGAAGTAAGACCAAGAATGCTGCTAAACATAAGGCAAAGAATTACCCAGCCCCAAACGCCAGCAGTGCCCAGGTAACACCCCGCTGTAACACAGTCTGACCAGTCGTTACTGCCTGATGGTTAGAAACACAACCTGCTTCTGCAGGATGTGACCTTTCAGGAAAAGATTTGGATGCTCCAGAAACCTGTCATTATCAAAACTTAGATTACATAACACATTGATCTTAGTAATAGTATCCCACTCAACTAATTGGTCCCTGGGAAAAAAAAGAAAAAGGCCAGCCAGAATTTCAGAGGAAGGATCTGAAGTTAATAGACCTTCTAATAGCATCAATCAGTTTGTCTTCTTTCAAAGCTGCCAAATGCTTTAATGGCCTCTGTCGATCTGCATCAATCTGGGAATCAAATCCTGTACAAGTTAGTCGAAGCCAGATGTGTCCCATCTTACTATTAATTAACTCGTGAATAAATGAAATATTGTACTCTTCCCAACAGTTTGTCCCAGCCAATGTGCACTTGTGACTCGTTGTCTTTCATCGATTTGCAGGACTTAGTCGTTCGTATTGTTTTCATTCTTGGCAACCTGACCGCAAAAAATAACCAGGCTCGTGAACAGTTTTTCAAGGAGAAGGGGAGCATCCCAGCTCTGCTGTCATTATTCCACACGTTCTACAGACTGGACCTGCATCCCAGGAGGCCAGCAGGTGGAGGAGATGAGCAGCCCACGCCGCAGAAGCCGCAGGCCCAGGGGGAGGACGTGCTCATCAAGCTGACCCGCGTGCTTGCCAACCTGGCCATCCACCCGGGCATCGGGCCGGCCCTGGCCGCCAGCCCGCAGGTGGTGGGCCTGCTCCTTGCCACGCTGGGTAAGACCCTCCGCCGGCAGCATGCACAGGCGGCAGCTGTCCCCAGTGGGTTGGGTGTGCTGAGGGTTTCATTAGCTCACTTTAATGCGACCTCTCAGCCCTGTGAACGAGACTCCTCTTCTGTTCAGAACTGCCTCAAAGGAAATCCAGATTTTTTAAAAAATGAAAAAATAGTAACACATATTGTTGCTAAAACCCACTTTAACAGGATGAATTTTATGGTATGTGAATTACATCACAATATTTGAAAAGTACACCAATCAAATTACCAAAGATTGGCCAAAATAACCACAAATAGTTTAAAATCCCAAGTTTTTCCATGGTTAGTCCACATGGTTAAAGTTTATCTTTTTATTTTTTAGGCTGTTACATGGTCTATAATGACAGCCCACAGTAATTTAGGTGCTATCTTTCCCCCTGTATTAGTCAGCTCAAGCTGCCATAACAAAATGTCACAGACTGGTTGGATTAAAAAACAGAAATTTATTTCTCAGAGTTCTGGAGTCTTGAAGCCCAAGATCAGGGTGCTGGCCTGTGTGGTTGGGGGTGAGAGCCCCCCTCCTGGCTTGCACGTGGCTATGTGTTCACGGGGCCTTTCTTTGATGTGTGCACATGGGGAGAGAGAATGACCTCTCTCTTCCTCTTCATATAACTCCACCAGTCCTATCTGATAGGGCTCTACCCCTATGACCTCATTTAACTTTAATTGGTTGCTAAATCCCCTGTCTCCAAATACGATCCCATTGGAGGTTAGGGCTTTAATAGATGGATTTAGGGGAGTGGACACAATTCAGTCAATCATACTCTGCTCCTACTACCCCCAAATTCATGTCCTTTCACATGCAAAATACATTCATTCCTTCTCAACAGCCCCCCAAATTTTAACTCATTCCAGTATCAACTCTAAAGTCCAAGGTCCATAATCTCATTTAAATATCGTATCATCTAAATCTGATATTGCGTGACTTGAGGTACGACTTATCCTGAGAAAAAATTTCTGTCCTGCCATAAGTCTGTAAAACCAGGCAAGTTACGTGCTTCAAAAACACAGTGACTGGGACAGGCACAGGTTAGACATTCTCATTCCAAAGGGAGAAATGGGAAAAAAGAAATGGTCATCAGGTCCCAAGAAAGTCCAAAACCTAACAAGTAACTCCGTCACATCCTAAAACACATACGGGTCCTTCAGCCAGGGTCCTCCCACCCACAGAGGCCAGCATGGGGGTCAGTGCATGGCAGACGCTCCATGAGTACTTGGAGAAAGAAAGAATAAGTATGTGTTTTCTGTAGCATGTGAACGACTGAATCTTCCTTTGACTGGAGTAAGCAGCAAAAAGGCAGTTACCTTTCACGAAGAGAAGGCCAAAAGGAATGAGATCAGAGAACATAAGAGCTAGCCCAGCCCCCCGCGCAGCTCCCAGCTCCCCTCTTCCTCCCCGACGAAGTTTGGTTTCATACAAGAGGTAGAAGGCACTTCTTAACCAAGCAAGGTCCCAAGTGTGTGCAGGCGCTGAGGTGGTTCCGGAGCAGGGGTGGGGGGTGGAGGATGTGCTGGGTCGGAGGTGAGAGGCAGAGGCTTGTTCAAGTTACTGTGACTAGTTCAGTGTAACCAGTGTGACTTTACCCTGACTGCCAGGCTATGTATCCAACTGTCCTACCCCTCACCCAGTGTGGGCACTTCAATGTATCTAGAGCCGAACTCATGACCTTTCTCCCAACTGGACCCTCTTCCCATGACCTTAATTCAGAGAATGTGATCACTGTCCATCGAGTTATGTAATCCAGAAACCCGGGGATCATACTGAGTGATTCCTCTCCCCCAGCCCCCAATCTAGTCTTTACCACATACTGTCCATTGTCCTCCCGGTTTTTCTGTCTGTCCACTGTGCTCCATCTCCACCGTCATCAAAGCCTAAGCGACATTTGTCATCTGAATACCACAGTGAGGCCAGAGAAGTTAGGACTGGGGCAGCCCAGGGAGGCCTGGGGGCCAAGTGAGACCAATGACATCATCTGACTAACTTTTAAAGGATCACCATGCTGAGGATAGGCTGAGGGAGGCAGAGGTGGATGAAAAGAAGCCAATTAGGGACTGAGAGATGGGCTAGAAGGTAGCAGAGCAGGTGAGAAGTGACCAGATGCTGAGTGTTTATGGTCAGGATAAACCGGGGGGATTAGAGACAGCTGCGCTCACTGGTGTGTTGGCACCTTTGCTTTACTACAGACACAGGGCCTGGGTCAGCCCAGCTTCTCCAGAACCCTGGCTGGAGGGATGGAGCCGAGAGTGTTCTAAACCCTGGGCAGGAGTGGGCCCTGCATTTGGTGCATTTCCCTGCAGGAAGAGCCATGGAGATAAAGCAGCAAGCAGCAGGGAGTCGGTGCCCTTGCACAGACCTTGCCCAGGACAACAGCGCGTCCCTGCTGCAGCTGGGATTGTTGCCGCAGTGAGGATGGCATTGTTCCTGTCCCTACTATGAGTCTGTGACACCCTTACTTTGTTTCAGAATACAAGTCAATTGATGCTTGTGAGGAGCTGGTGATCAACACGATAGCAACAATCAACAACTTATCTTACTACCAAGTGAAGAATTCTATCATTCAAGACCAAAAGCTACATATTGCTGAATGTAAGGTTGAGAGTTGGATTTGGGTAGATGCATGTTTATTTAAGGTTTTGATCTTTACTAACTAAACACTGTCCTAGAAGCATTCACATTTTCCGATTTCCTGGCACAAATATCTAAGAGCCTGATTTGATCCTGAGAAATTAAACTATGTGGAAAAGTTAGCTTCTTAGTTCTTGCCAAAGTCCCCTCCAGTTTGTATTTTATTATCGTTTTTAATTTTTGAATGATCAGTAGCAGTTATCAGTGTCAGTATTTACTATGATTATTGAGCTATGATATTGGTTTCTAACAGCCTTTAAATCAAAACTTAAATTCACTGACTTGATCTCTCTGGTCACCAAAACCAGTGCTTTTAAAGCTTCTTGGGAGTGACAACATGGATGGAATTCTGGAGGCTGTGCGTGTTTTTGGAAATCTCTCCCAGGACCATGACATCTGCAATTTCATTGTGCAGAAGAACAGTGAGTTAATGACACTTACATTCATAAGCATACACTTCGTGCCAGTAAACAGGGGGCAATCTGGGAGCTTGGGTCATGACAATGTGATACTTGTTTCCGCTTTGGGACGAGTGAGTGTTTTACATTCTGTTCCATCGTCCGTATGTGAGGATGTCAGCTCAGGAGCCAAGATGGACTAGGCGGTGTTCTCCGTTCCCTCTGCCTCCTTAGAGGTCTTCTGACTTCTGAGATGGGGGGCGGGGGAGAGGGAGAGGGAGAATGTATGAAACAAGTTATCTATCCTCTCATTTCTGTCCGTGGGAATAGACTCAAGAGACAGTCTCCTTCATGTACTAGGATGTCCATTATAGTCCTGCTTGTAATAGCAAAAAATGGAAACAACTTAATCAACAGGCAAGAGGATAATACATTATGGTATATTCGTGCCACATAATGTTGGACAGCAGTGAAAATAAGTGAACTAGAGGTTCATGGATCAACATGGATCATCCTCAACCACTTATAATCTAAAAGCAAAAACATTAGTGAAAGGGGGGTATAATAAGAATAATGCCAACAAGGCAAGTTTTGCAACATGCAAAACAATCTTGGGTATTGTTTATGTAATGTAATAACAGTATAAGGTATAAATGGTATTTGGAACTGATAAACTCCACATTTAAGACAGAAGTTATATTTGGAGGGAACGGAATGCCTAGATATCAAATTGGATCTGTAATGTTTATTTCTTGAAAAAGAAAATGTCATATATACAGTAGTCCTTTTTCTTTTGAATGCATCTGATCTCCATCCTCCTTTGCAAATTCACACCTTTCTTAAACTGGGTGGCAGATACACAAGAGTGTATGCTAACCATCCTCTGTATGTCTCAAATATTTCATGTAAGAAAAATAACTAAACATATGTTTGAGTAAGAGATGTCCAAACCTCTAGAGAATTTTGATGAGCTTATTTGGGCCAAACTGACGACATATACTGGCGAGCAAGATCTCAAATACTCCTGAGAACAATAATTTGCAGTTTCCTTATGCATTTGAAATTAAGGAGAATGACATGAGGGTGGAGAAACAAGTGGGGCCTGGATTACAAGGTTATTTGCTTTCTTAAAGGTGGTTAGTCTTTCGAGGGGTTTTTCATCCGGCACCTCAAAGGTGTGTTGACCTCGATGTGTAAGAACAATGGACAGGGCTGGCTTAAAAACCTTTTAGTAAAGAAATTCTAGGCCTGGGGTATGACTGACTGCCCACTAAGACCTGCAGTTTGCAGTAGGAGTTTGTAGTTTATTACAGCACCTCTTTTTCTTCCACAAACACCTAATTATCCATGTTGACAATAGAAAATGTAGATAATACGCAGAGAAAAACAAGCACAGCAGCAAACTGGGAAGAGTTATCTCTGCTGGGGTGAGATGACTGGCCACGGCTTGCTGCTGCTGGAGGTTCCAAAGATCCTTGACATGTTCAGAATGTCACCTGTGTGGCTGGAGGTGGCAGGGACTCTGCCACCGCCTAGGAGAGGTAGCTGCTCTCCGGGTCAGATACAGCAAGACCTGGGCACAGAGGACCTGCAGAGTGGGGAGCAGGTTCTCCATGGGGTGGGTGTTGGGGAGCCCACTGCTGGGTTAAATCCCCTAGTCGGGTTTTCAGTTTTGCAAGCAACTCCCCATTTCCCCTTTGCCCTTTCCCTTTAAATCAGGGGGATGCGATACAGCTGAGAACCCCGCGCTCACTGTGCACGTCTGTTCTCTGTCCGCAGTACACAAGTTCATGATTGCGCTGCTGGATGCGAAGCATCAGGATGTCTGCTTTTCTGCCTGCGGTGTTCTCCTGAATCTCACTGTGGAGAAAGACAAGCGTGCCATCCTAAAAGAAGGAGGCGGCATTAAAAAGTAAGCTTCGAGGCATGGAGTTCTGACTCTCTCAGGATTCAGAGGACATGGTTTTCCAGGGAGTTTAGGTCCCTCTCGGCATTCCTCCAGGATGGAGGTATTTCAACATTTGGAAAAGCCTAGTGAGGGCTGAAGAGGAGATGTAGGTCCCTCTGGACACTTAAAATAATTCAGGAGTAGATTATTGTGATTTTGTAACTATGAAAATATGTTAAATAATCGCTGAATTATACACATTACATATTAAATATTACCAAAGGATAATCATTATTGTGATAAAAATATGAAAGTTAGAGACTCTGACCTAGTAACTTCTCAATTTGCCTTTCATTAACTCAGGTTAGTGGCTTGTTTAAGAGATTTCGGTCCTACCGACTGGCAGCTGGCCTGCTTAGTGTGCAAAACATTATGGAACTTCAGTGAAAATATCACTAACGCTTCATCTTGTTTTGGAGATGAAGACACCAACACTCTCTTGGTGCTGCTGTCATCATTTTTAGGTAAGCCTCCTCACTGTGAATCTGTGTATTATCAAAGTGAGATCAATCTTTTTTCTATGCCTTGTATGGATAAATATTGGTATGTGTTTGGGTGGCCATATTTCTAAAACAACAGCCTGTTAGAGATGATTATAATTTAGAAATATCTGAAAGAGGCTGAATGCTATTTACAATGGGGGCACACAAACTTTTAATTCATTGGGTACTAGCATGATTTCTTCTGTGGCTTTTTCTTTTCTTTTTTGCATTTTCTATAGGTTTCATAAATACAAGATGCTGTTGTTTAAAAGTGTGTACAGTACACATTGTTGTAATTGAGAAAACATGGTTAAAAGCTACTCTGGACTACGTAATGCTTTTAAGTGAATCTACACATTTTAATTAGCAGCTGTGTTCATTATCACCGGAGAACCCCGAGCTTTATTGGTCTGCATCTGTTTAGGGCCGTGAAACTATTTGATATTTCAGTGTGGTCCGTACCTTGGAAGGTGGGAAATCCCTGATACAAACCAGAGGAAAGAGGATAGCTTCTTTCATTTTAAAAGCTTTAGAGTAATCGTTTGCATCCTGGGCTAGGGCTAACAACAGTGACTGGGAGCAGATAATGAGAGTTTTCAGTCACCATTTCCCCCGAATGCAGAAGTACCTACCGTGCCCAGCCACCGTTTTGCGTCAGCAAGGGCTTGTGGCAGGGTGCCGTTTGCTCGGAAGCTGGGGTTCAGGTGGCGTCATTTGATAAGAGAATCTCTCAGAACCGGTCTTTTCATCTCTAAAATGGGGACCTGATCATCGCTGCCCAGCTCAAGGAACAAACAGACATCCTGAGAGCACACAGGGAAGACCCAGAGGCGCAGTCAGTTCGCAGTGTAAGTGCCTGGATGAGCACTTGCAAGGGAGGTTTTAGCCCCCTCAGCTTATAGTCTCTCATCTCTAAGATGGGCCATTGGTGTCCACGCTGCAGGGCTGTCAGGGTGATAAACCAGCTGACGTGTAGAAAGAGCTGGATAGGGGGCCTGACACGTGGCAAGCCCTCAAAATGTGGTGGTGGAAGCGCTTCCTAAACCCTAAGTGTAGCGGCCTGGTCTTAACCAGGAACTCAGAACGGGAAGGTTTGCTAGGTTGATGGGAAATTTGCTTTTTCCGATAAATGTAATTTTGTGTGTGTGAAAGGAGGGGAAAATGTGCATGGTTTTAAACCATTGAGGTTCACAGTCTGCTCTGGAAACGCTAGGGAAACTTTCACGTGGGTACCAGGAGCAGAAGGCACACTCAGCTCGCCTTCATTCAGGTCCCCTGTGGCAGACACGGATCAGCTGCAGAATTGAAGAAACACACTGACCATGTCCATCGGTTATGCGTACATGCATATATGTTCTGTGGTTTATCTCTTCCCTCCCCCCACCCCCTCTTCTGAGGGTTGTCAGTCTGTACCCCACTTCCACATCTCTGGGTTTACCCTGTTCCTCAGACTGTCATGTTCATTATATTCCACAAATAAGTGAGATCATGTGATATTTGTCTTTCTCTGCTTGGCTTGTTTCACTTAGGATAATACTCTCCAGATCCCTCCATGTTATCTCAAAGGATAAGAGGTCTTTCCTTCTCACAGCTGCATAGTACTCCATTGTGTATATGTACCACAGCTTTGTTATCCATTCGTCTACTGATGGACATTTGAGCTGATTCCAGATCTTAGCTATTGTAAATAGTGCTGCTATGAACATGGGAGTACATATATTCTTTCTGATTGGTGTTTCAGGCCTCTTAGGGTATATTCCTAGAAGTGGGATCACTGGGTCAAATGGCAGTTCAATTTTTAATTTTTTGAGGAAACACCATAGTGTTTTCCATAGTGGCTGCACCAGTCTGCATACCCACCAGCAGTGTAGGGTGTCAATGGGGAAAACAGGAGAAACATATGTAACAAAAATAAATTAATAAAAAAATTTAAAAAAGATTAGCTTTGACGATGTGAGTTGATCTCATCCAATCAGATGAAGGCCTTAAGAGCAAAGATTGAGGTTTCCCAATGAAATTCTTACTCAAGACTACATTTGTCAATTTTCACCAAGTTTTCAACCTGCCAGGCTACCTAAAAATTTTGGACCCAAGACTCCATCTACTCTTTCCTGAGTTTTGAGATTGCCGGCCAGACTTATGGATTTTGTATTTTTCATTCTAAACAATCACAAGTCAACTTCTTAAAATAAATCTCTTAATATAGTATATATATATATATATAACAACTTTATTTGAAAAAACAGGAGATGGGATTTATATATATATATATATATAACAACTTTATTTGAAAAAACAGGAGATGGGATTTAGGTGATTGATTAAAGTTATAACTAGGAAGAACTGATTAATTAAAATTTTTAGCTGTTTAATTACTAAGGATAAACAAACTATCAGTGAATTCACTACCTTACTTTTCTTCTAACTTGAAACTTGGTCCTTTGTTTTAAACTCTTTTTTAAAAAAATAGTAAAATTTCTAATGTTTGATATAATAAAAAAGGAAGAAACGCACTGCCCTGCCCCACCCCCAGGAATTCTGATTCAGGAGCTCTGGTGTGAGGTCGTGAATCCCACTTTTAAAAGTCCCACAGGTGAGTCTGCTATGCAGCCAGGGTTCAGAACCTGTGTCCTGGTTCCTGAAGGAGTTTCAGGGGAGGATGCACAGAGAAAGGAAGCCAGGAAACCAGACAGAGCCCAAAGTCTGCCAGGGGTCAGCGGGAGGTGGTCGCAGGAGGGCCCCCGCATCAGGTGTCCTCGCGCACTCTGCTGGGGCCCCGCTCCGCTCTGCCTCTTCTGTGGTGGAGAAAGTCCTTTCTCCCCCTTGTTCCCTCTAGGCTCCTGTTCGGTCAGGGCTTCAACTACCCGAGGCCGCTTCTACTGTGCTCAGCGTGTGTTTCCTCTGTTGTTGGCGCACCTTTCGGTCTCCCATTTGGGGAGAAGGTGTGATTGGGTCCGAGAGTCACTCCTGGGCTGCAGGGCTTTGTGCCTTCGGCAGCAGCTGCCTCGGCCGCAGGCTCTCTGCGGCTTCCTTTGGCACCAGGTCTGGGGCAATCAGTCCTAAGTAAAGAGGATGGTGGGGCCATCGGGCACAAGGAGAGCTTAGAAGGGGGCGTGGGCATGGCTGGCTCCTCAGCAGGGGCAGCACACCCAGCAGGCACTGTGACGGTGGGCCTGCTGCCTACTCCTCCCCACCCTCAGCCTTCCCGGCAGGTCGGGCTCCTGCTTGGCCTCCCCGGCCTCTGCACCTTAGCGTGCATCCCTGACAGAGCTGCCGGTCCTTGCCCACCCTCCTCGTATAGCTTTTCAAGCCCCCTGTCTAATCATCGGAAATCTGCACTTATATAGTGATGAGTCATGAGCTGCGTGACTTCTCCTTTGCTATTGTTTTGTATCTTTTATCTTATTTCCCCAGTCCAACTGAGCCACTTTAGGGAAAGGGTATTGCCTCGTGCAAAGTCGGTTCTTGATAGATGCTTGTGGATCGACTCACATTGGCGGTACCTTTGTTTTAATAGTGCTGTATTCTTTTAAAAGCATATTCCTTCTAGCTTCATAAGACCTCTCTGAGGTCATCAGCTCCGTGACAGATGAGGAAAGTAGGTCTAAAAGGGGTAAGTGACTTGCCTAAGGTCACAGTGTAGGAAAGCCAGGACTTTCCATCAGAAAATAAACATCTAGCTCCCTGTTTCTCTGCTGTTCCATTATCCCCTTACCCCACCCTGTGGAAGGGGCTGTGGCACGGATAACAAAAGTAAACACAGCCTATAAGGAAGCCAAGTGACCAGCACAGTGTCAGGACTTCTCACGTGATCACAAGTCCTCCTTAGGAACCCTGGGATCCGGGCTGCTTCCTGGCTCTTCTCTCTGCAGCGTTGGCCTCAGACCCTTACTTCCGACAGGGTGGTAGCACGTGAAATGCTATGTGATCGACAGTATATGAATTTCAATTCTTTTGCAAAGACAGCTACCAAGCAGGCCATTTTGAAAACAGGGTGAGCTGTTTAATAACAGAGCCCTGTTTTTAGAAATAATGGCAAAGCAACCCATGAAGTAATATGTTACCCAGCTTTTTCTTGATAGGTGACGGGGGAAAAACAGGATAAAGTAGTGATCAGCAACGTGGCTGGGACACCGGGATGTTGACAGTATTTTTGGAAAGTGGTTTAAAAAGAATATTGTTGCCCTGGTCGGTTTGGCTCAGCGGTTAGACCGTCGACCTGTGGACCAAAGAGTCCTGGGTTCGATTCTGGTCAAGGGCACTTACCGGGGCTGCGGTTCGGTCCCTGCCCCTGGTCAGGGTTGTGCAGGAGGCCACCAATCAGTGTGTCTCTCTCACATTGATGTTTCTTTCTTTCTCTCTCTCTTTCTTTCCCTTCCACTCTATCTGAAGATAAGTGTTAAAATATCCTCAGGTGAAGATTTTTTTAAAAAAAGAATGTTGTCCAAAACTTCCTAATGTATTACAATCACTTCTTATGAACTCATTAGCAGTGTGTTCACCTTGACGTTTGCAGTGGTGTGCCCGGCACACTAGTCTACGTGAGCGTCTCTCAGGGGAGCCAGCAATGGGCAGTCAGTGCGTGCAGGTTATTACTGTGAATGTAAGACACACTAGGTTTTTATGTTCATTATAAGGTACATAGGACTTAGCATCTGGGCTGTACGACAAGGGGTGGAGTGGGGCCCAGCATTCCTGTTGGAGGGTCACGTGGTCCAGCCTACACCAAAGAGCCAGCAGGTGCTTCTGCAGCATTGAGGACTGTGCCTTATAGGACAATAGTCGGGGCAATACCAAAGCCTCAAGGAGCCTCCTGGTGCTGAGCAGCGAGCTAGGAAACAGTGCAGTGAACAGACGCGGTTATCGGTGCTACAGGACTCTTAAGCTGTAATGGAGACGGTGTCACGACGATCACTGACAAATTTATTATTTCGAGTCCTTTAATCCTTTCTAACAGGCAGCCTCGAGTGCTGGTATTTGGAAGTGTGCTGTGCACAAAGGCGCTTAGGAAGGGAGGGTTGGTTTTCTCAAGCGGTGCTTTTCACACGGTGACCAGCATCTTTAAAAAATGAAGTCGCAAAGAAAGAAACTATCACAATATATAACATGTAGTAAGGATAAGTATTCTATTATACAACATTTATTTATTTGGATAGAAATATGCATACAGTTATAATGTAGTATGTATTTCTTAGATTGTGGTTAAAAAAAAACTTGAAAATCATAAAAGTCTAAGTTTTTCTTGCATTAGCCACTGCCCCTCTGTGCCACACGTTCTGATTGTCAATACCTAGTGTAACGTGGCATTGAAACGTGTTTGCTGGACTTTGAAATTTCAGCCTGCTTTTCTCTTGCCGGTAGCCGTTTGGCCTCTTCTATTCTCTTGTCTAACTCAGTTTAGAATTAATAGGGTCCAAGTATAGGTTAACTAATAATAGGCTGAGCCTCAAGAAAAGTGACAGTTTTGATATTAGATTTTTTTTAAAAAGCACCGAAATAGAGATTTGCTCAGACCAACTCCAACCAAAGCCCTGGGCAGAGGAAGGGACTGTGAGGTGCAGGGCAGCCCTCAGCCCTCAGCGTCTCGGGAAAGAAGGGCATAACACCAGAGAATTCATTTTTAAATGGAAGTTGAGGGCTCAGAAAATCTGGAAAAGAGTGAGTGGGAGGAAGATCTAGAACTCTGAAACCACTGAGCCTCCTCTTGTCCAGAAGTAGCCCAGTGGGAAGGGCTGTCCTCCTCAGGGCCTGATTACTTTGTGGGTGGGGAGGTCCGGTTTGCTTATGGGGTCTCCATGGAGAACCCTGCTGAAGTGTGTGCCCAGAACTTACCTCACGGCTGCACAGCTGTTGTCTTGGTTGTGAGGAAGGAGGGGAAGGTCCAAACTGGGATTCCAGGCGCCCTTATCTGGTTCTGGGTGAGACACCAACAGTGCCCAAGTACACAGGGTGTACAGAAATATTCAGTGTAGAAAATCTGGTATAAACAGTAATGAAGTCGTTTGGACTAGGATTTTCATTATCTCTATGAGGAAAGTTTCCAAATTATGTAAGTAGCAATATTGGTGGTCATTTTAGAACTTGGTGGTTACCACGTGAGAGCCTGCCTCAGCCACAGACGTGGGACGCGGCAGGGCCAGTCTTCTGAGCAGCGGGCCAGTGCGTTTTCCTAAAGGACTTCCCGTGGGGCGTGAGGCCCAATATAAACAAGTAAAACCACAGGGCAGGTCAGCGAAGAAACCTCAACGGCCATTCATCTCCCTACTTGGATGGATATACTTATGATTACAGAATTCAGGATGCCTTTGGACTAAGGAGCAAATTAAAATAATTTTGCACTTTTTTTTCCCAAGTGCTTTTCTGCATTATCCATGGACTCACCTGGGATTCTTACACTCCTTGGAATCCTCAGAGTCTCCCACTATTCACTGTTATGGATCACAACATAGGGACAGGTGGTTGTGGTTTTTTTTGTTTTGTTTTGTTTTATCCTCACCCGAGGACATTTTAACATGTATCTGCAGATAGAGAGGGAGGAAGAGAGAGAGAAACATCGATGTGAGAGAGATACATTGACTGGTTGCCACCCACACAACCCCAACCAGGGCTGGGGGCAAACTGCAACCGAGGTACGTGCCCTTAGCGGGAACCGAACCTGGGACTCTCTGGTCCACGGGATGATGCTCTAACCGCTGAGCCAAACCGGCCAGGGCCAGGTAGTTGTGTTTTTAAGGAAGTATGTCCAGGCTGCTTTAAGATAGCAAAGTTGACTTTTAGTTAAGTTTTAAGTGTCAAATTCAACCATGTTACTTTCCCAGGAGATTTCCTGACTCCTTTTATATCTGTCAACCACTGAAGTAATTAACTTTTTTAATGCACAGGTAAGGAAGTAACCTATTAATACTTTGTTCTGAGCAACTGCGATCTGACTTCTGGATGTGGACTTACACACATAAGGGATTCATTGAAATAAAAGCTCAATGCATGTAGAATTTTTTGAGATTATTGTCTTTTTTTTATTTTTTATTAAGGGACTAAAACATACTTATTTAAAAATATTCATAAAGAACAGAAGAAAATAAAGAACTTATCCAATAGAAAATCCTTTATAAACAAAACCAGAGAAAAGCCTTTAACACCATCGGCACTCTGTGTCTTTTTGGAATTAGGGGTGACACAGGATGTCTTGACTTTATGCCATCAAAAATTAAACTTTATTCAATAGGACTATATTTTCAAATAATTGCTGTAATTTTATTTTTTCTGATACAGATGAAGAACTAGCACTGGATGGCAGTTTTGACCAAGACCTAAAAAACTATCACAAACTCCACTGGGAAACAGAATTCAGACCTGTGGCACAGCAGCTTCTAAGCCGAATTCAGGCTCATCATAGCTTCCTGGAGCCCCTGCCTTTCCCTTCTTCCTAACGTGATGCAAATGAACACCAGAAACAGTAAGTCAGGTCGCCTTCGTTCTTAAGAAATGGTAACAAACATGAACTTTTTTTCTCCAAGTATTAACAGATATTGAAAGCTTTTCAGGTACTGATGTTAGTAGTTGAAGTATTTTAAAGGAAATAAGCATTTCTTTTTGTTAGGTATTATGGAAAAATAAATATACATGTACTTTCTGCTATGAGAAATGTAAGATAAAAAATACGCATGCATTTTATAAGTAAATGACTTTTTCTTCTATTCTCTAGTCAATACTCCCGATTTAATAATTCTGGAATTGAAGTGCTTGTCAATCCAGTAGTTAAATGAACCTTGCAATGAAGGCTATTAGATTTTGTATGTAGAAAGAATGGTGGTCAATGCTATGAGGAATACATTGCTACATAAGCGTCCATACTAATCCTTATGTCATCTAATAGTAATTTTCTGGTTAGGCACCCATATTTTTCTGGTTGTCATATTAAGAGAAATAAGCAGAAAAAAAATAGGGAAGACCACTTTGGGCCATCTACTCTTTATTAAATACATAAAATAGAAGAAAAGGGGAGTATTTTACCTCTTTTAATTTGAAATAAGATCACAAGACCAGACAATCCTTTCACTGTAATTCTCTATGACTAGGGAGGTTTTATGTACGGGAAAGAGTGTAGGCGTAGGTGTATGGCAGATCTCGGTTCAAATTCTAGCTCTCTCCCGCTTGGATCTTGGACAAGTAACTTAATTTCTTGAGCTTCAGCTATAAAATGAGAATAATACCTATTTTATTATAGGGTAGTTTAGGGGTAAACATTAAATGGGAAAATTGCCCAGGACAGTGCCTGATGTGTAGGAGGTATGCTATAAATTACAACATTATGATGATAGCTTATTAGTTCACCATTCTTTATAGGATAAGTTTGACCTCTGAAGAAGTAGTAACAGCCAAATAAATTGACATTACTGTTGTTATCCAATAGCAGCCAAATGCAGATTTGGAAATTAAAGTAGGTTTGCTACTCTGCTTGGAGAATAGCTGATATTAATGGCCCACCACTCCTCCTACAAAATACCAAGACCAATGGGACAAGGGCAGGCATCACAGACTAGACAGGCTTTCAGAACCTATCAGGAAAAACTTAAATTTCCCGGAAACCAATGGATTTTCCAAGGGCTTTTCTAATCTGGGGATCATCCCTGATTACAGGTCAGCAACATTGCTGGGGACACTCACCTTATTATAGTCTGATTTCTAAGTGCACAATAGTAGATTCATTCCAATAGTTGACATTATTTTAAGTATGAGGAGCTAATCTCTCATAAACATTTAAAGATCGAAGTCTTTATTTTATCCATAGCATTGCTATATATTCTACTTTCAGTGAAAAAGAAAAAGATCAAATCCCCCCGCCCCAAACAGCTCCCTCACTATAACTAATATAACAACTCATGGTGGAATACCATTATACCTGTTCTCCCACATACTAAATTCCTCCTCCTCAGACTCATGTACAAGCTGGCCTATTTGGAGCTATCAACCTGCCTTTAAAAAAATTGTAGTAAAAAGCACAACATAAAATGTATCATCTTAACTATTTTTACCTGTGCAATTCAGCAGTGTTAAGTATATTCATATTGTTTTGTAACAGATCTCCAGAACTTTTTTATCTTGCAAAACTGAAACTGTATATATTAAACAACTTCCAAATGTTTCCCCTTCCTTCCAGCCACTAGAAACTACAGTCTACCTTCCCTTCCTATGAACTTGACCAGTTTAGTTAGATACCTTGTATAAGTGGACTCACAAAGAATTTGTCTTTTTTGTGACTGGTTTATTTCACTTAGCATAGTGTCCTCAAAGTTCATCTGTGTTGTAGCATGTGTCAAGATTTCCTTCCTTATTAAGGCTGAATAATATTTCCTTGTATATAAATACCACATTTTGTTTATACATTTATCTATCAAGGGGCATTTTCATTGCTTCTACCTCATGGCTATTGTGAATAGTGCTGCTGTGAACATGGGTGTGAAACTCTCTCTTTGAGATCCTGCTTTCAATTCTTTTGTGTATATACCTAGAAGTGAAATTACTGAATCATATAATAGTTCTATTTTTTTTTTAATCCTCACCTGAGGACATTTTTCCCTTTTTTGTTCAGATGGGGGGGGGGGGAGAGAGAGAAACAGCGACATAAAAGGGACACATCGAGTGGTTGCCACCCGCATGACCCAACCAAGACCGGGGACAAACTGCAACTAAGGTTCATGCCCTTAGCAGAAACCGAACCCGGGTCTCTCTGGACCGCAGGCCAATGCTCTAACCACTGAGCCAAACCAGCCAGGGTGGTAGTTCTATTTTAATTTTTTGAGGAACCTTTATACTGTTTCCCATAGAGGTTGTACCATTTCATATGACCACCAACAGTGCATAAGGGTTCCAATTTTCTCACATTTTCGCTAACACTTGTTATATTCTGTTTTGTTTTTAGATAGCAGACACCCTAATGGGTGTAAAGTGATATCTCATTGTGGTTTTTATTTGCATTTCTTTATTCATTAGTAATGATGAGTATCTTCTCATGTTTGTTGGCCATTTGTATATCATCTTTGGAAAAATGTCTGTGCAAATCTATTTTTTTTTTTTTTTAATCCTCACCCAAGGATGTTTTTCCATTGATTTTTTGATAGAATGAAAGGGAGGGAGGGAGAAAGAGCGAGAGAGAGAAATTGATGTGAGAGAGAAACATCGATTGGTTGCCTCCCACGTGACCCCGACCAGGGCTGGGGATCAAACCTCAACCAAAGTACATGCTCTTGACCAGAATCAAACCCGAGACTCTTTGGTTCTTGGACCAACACTCTAATCACTGAGCCAAACCAGTCAGGGCTCTCCTGGCCATTTTTAAATGAAGTTATTTGTTTTGTTATTGTTGTTGTTGAGTTGAAGTTATTCTTTATTTTATTTAATTTTTTTTATCCTCACTCAAGGACATTTTTGCATTTATCCTCAGATAGAGAAGGAGGGAGAGAGGAAAGAAGAGAGAGAGAAATATTGATGTGAGAGAGACACATTGAGTGGTCGCCACCCACATGACCCCAAGGAGCCGGGGACAAACTGCAACCGAGGTACGTGCCCTTATCGGGAACCAAACCCAGGTCTGTCTGGACCACAGGCCGATGCTCCAACCACTGAGCCAAACCGGCCAGGGCCCCATTTGTGTATTTTTTGTTGCCCTTGCCTGGGGAAAATATTGCTAAGAGTGATGTCCAGTCTACTGCTTATGTTTTCTAGGAGTTTTATGGTTTCAGGTCTTACATTTAAGTCTTCAATGCATTTTATTTTTTTATGTTTAAAGTATACAATGTGATGATTTTTGTAATCATTTTATTATTTTCAATTACAGTTGACATACATCATTATATTAGTTTCAGATGTACACCCCAGTGACCAGACATTACATAACTTAATATGTGATCATCTCAATAAATCCCTCACCCGTCGAACACCACACCTAGTTATTAGAATATTACTGACTATATTCTCTATGCTGTACTTCACATCCCCATGACTATTCTGTAACAACCAATTTGTACTTCTTAGTCCTTCACCTTTTTTGCCCATTCCTCCACCCCAATCCCCTTCCAATCCGGCAACTAACAAAAAGTTCTCTACCTATGAGTCTGTTTCTATCCTGTTTGTTCACTTTGTTTGTAGATTCAATTGTTAATAGATATGTATATTGTCATTTTATTCATATTTTTGTCTTCTTTTCTCTTCTCCTTCTTAAAGATCTTTAAGGTCTCATGTAATTCTGGTTTGGTGGTGATAAACTCCGTTAGCTTTTTTTTTGTCTGGGAAGCTCTTTATCTGTCCTTCGATTCTAAATGATAGTTTTACAGGGTAGAGTAATTTTGATTGTAGGTCCTTGCTTTTCATCACCTGGAATATTTCTTGCCACTCCCTTCTGTCCTGCAACATTTCTGTTGATAAATCAGCTAACAGTCTCATGGGAGCTTCCTTGTAGGTAACTAACTGTTTTTCTCTTGCTGCTTTTAAGATTCTCTGTTTGGAGCATCCTCTCCGATGTGCCAAGGTTGCGGGTTCGATCCCCAGTCAGGGCACATACAAGAATCAACCAATGATTTTATAAATAAGGGGAATAACAATTCAGTCTCCCTTTCTCGCTCTCTCTCTGTAAAATCAATTAATAAATAAAAATTTTTAAAAAAGATTCTCTGTCTTTAACATTTTGCTTTTTTGTTTTTTAATCCTCACCCAAGGACATATTTCCATTTTTTATTCAGACAGAGTGGGAGGGAGAGAGAGGAAGAGAGAGAGAGAGAGAGAGAAACATTGACGTGAAAGGGACACATCTGAGTGGCTGCCACCTGCACAACCCAACCAGGGCTGAGGACAAACTGCAACTGAAGTACATGCCCCCAGTGGGAACCGAACCTGGGTCTTCTCTCTGGACCACAGGCCGACGCTCTAACGGCTGAGCCAAACCGGCCAAGGCTGCATTTTAATTATAATGTGTTTTGGTGTTGTCCTCTTTGGGTTCCTCTTGTTTGCGACTCTCTGTGCTTCCTGGACTTGTATGTCTGTTTCCTTCACCAAGTTAGGGAAGTTTTCTGTAATTGTTTTTTAAATAAGTTTTCAATTTCTTGCTTTCTCTTTTCTCCTTCCGGCACACCCATAATGTGAATGTTGGCACGCTTGAAGTTGTCCCAGAGGCTCCTTACACTATTCCCATTTTTACAAATTCTTTCTTCTTTTTGCTGTTCTGATTGGGTGTTTTTTACTTCCTTATATTCCAAATCACTGATTTGATTCTCAGCTTCATCTCTATTATTTATTTCCTGTAAATTATTCTTTATTTTAGTTAATGCATCCTTCATTTCTGACTGGTTCTTTTTATGCTGTTGAGGTCCTCACTAAGTTTCTTGAGCATCCTTATAACCAGTATTTTGAACTCTGCATCTAGTAGATTGCTTAT